CAGGCAACCTCCGCCGACACAACGGAACAGTTGAAGAGGCCAGAAATGCAGAATTTTCGGCTTCGGGCTTCTTGGGCTTCTGTCGAGATTTCCGAGCCGGGGGGTGGGCTCGTGAAGACTCGAAGACTCATGGCAGCTGGCAGTATGAGGCACTTCCTTGCGGTTCTCCATCATCGCACCAGTGCCCACGAATGCGGCAGCTTCAAGTCGTGAAAATTGTTGGCCAACCTCGCCCCGCAACTCTCTCTTTCTCTCTCTCTCTCTTTGTCATTCTCTGTCGCTTGTGCACCCTCTAGTGATGCCGCGTGCATCCCAACCAGTCGCCTCGCAGATGTGGGCAAGGCGCATCTTTGAGTGCTTTGACATCCCGGAGGAAGAGCAGCAGCTACTGGTCTGCAGGGCACAGGCTTGCTCCGGCAATCGAGTCACTGATGCCTGTGCAATACGCAGGAAAAAGCAGAGATATCATAGCGGTCCTCGTAGTATAGTCGTCATAATAGGAAGGAGAAGTAGGAGCACTGCTAGCAGACGCGGTAGCAGCAGCCACAGTGCTTTTGAGCATGTTTAGGCATGTTTCAGCACAGTGCTACTGGCGGTATTCGTTTTGCTGAAAGCTTTTCTGAGGCTTTGCTTCCAGAGCCAGCGCCTCCAAAATGGACAGAAACCCTTTGAGTTTCTCTCAGACACTGGGCGCAGGCACTTGTAACTTGTCTTCGCGTAGGTCCACGTCCGACGACGAATTCTTGAATGGCGACAGCACACACACACACACACGCGCATGCAAGAATGCCGCGATTCTATTGTCCATACATGTCAACACTATTTACGTGCTTCCGCAGCGTAAGACACCGAATACAACCGTTAGGATTTGTTTGTAATTTTTGGCGTCGCGGGGCATCTCTAGGCATCTTCCCACCTGCAACACAGCACCTCAGCTCCGCGCTTCTAAGCTCTTTAGCCAAGGAGACGGAGCAAATGATCACGCTGGTAAAGGCGCGGCCATAAGGAGCTGGAATTTTCTGGGCTTGAGTATAGCTGAGTAAAAACTGTCGTCGTCGTTTTGCTCGGTCTTAGTGGCCAGGTTCCGCCTCAGATGACTCTTTGCATCCAGCACCTTGGCTAAAGTCTAAAGTTTGGCTTTGAGCGCGCGATTCTGGCAAGGGCCTGCAATGCTGGGACCTCTTGCTTTCCTTCGATAGGAGTCTGTAATTGGGTGATGTCGCATACAGATCATATTGGGTGCTGGGGGGTTGGGTTGTCGCGACCCCAGCGACTCCTGCTGTGCTCTTACGTAGCTCGTAAAACATAGCCGTGGCCGCTGTGGCCATGACGCTTCGTTGGGTTCGGAGGTCGTTTCAGGTTGGTAAGGCCTCCCAACAAGGCCGGGAAAGAGGCTTTTGGTCTAGAGCCTTGGTGCAAAGCTCTCTGGTTCAAGGTGTTGTCTGTCGAACACCACTGGTTCTCTGAAGACGGTCATTGTCTGCAAAGGATTTGTAACCTTGATTGTGCAGGAAAGTCGTGTGTGTGAACTGCTTGTCCATAATCGTGCGTGATGCCATGTTAATCCTGCAGCCGCAAGCACGCGCATGCCAAGTCTATCGTGAGCCAAGGTTTCTCAGTGGCGGCAAGCCGCAAAGCCGCATGTTTAGGCAAATATCTACCAGGTTGCTCGAGTTGGCCGTCGAAAGGGCTGCAGGGATAGATCGGGAAAATGCATTTACGAAGGTTTTGTGCTTGCCTGCATGTAGCCTTTTATAGTTTACTTGCTAAGACGGCAGGCCAGCCTCCAGCTGCGAGTCACGACGATCCGAACTGTAAAGGGATTCTTTCCATGTACGGTTTGCAAGACCGCGTTCCTGGGATGGGCTGTGGCGAAAGCAAGCGAGAAATTGCCGAGCTTCCGCAAGAATTGGAACTTGGATTTGTCTACTCGATAGGTATCCTGGCCGTTAGCTTGAGAAGCCTTCAATGTCTGTGCTTCGACGAACTCCTGTGATGCGTTCAGTTGTAAACAAAGAGCCAAAAGTAATTACATGATGAATTTGTGAGCCAGTGCATCCATCTGTATCAGATAACAAGTCTGGCTTAATTGGGTGAAGTAATGGTTTGTAAGGTAGTTGGCTGCCGTTCTGTTCGACGCTGTGCTGTCCTTGCTACATCCTACATGTCTATAATATTGTATCATGCCCGGCGCGCTGAGGCATGACATGTGCATAAACTGCAGCGACACCGTTGGGCAGCTGAAAGAGAAGATACAGGAGCTCAGTTGTGCCGCCCAAGGGATTCTTTCCAGAGCTATATAAGGTGTGTAGCAATGGTTTTCAGGGTCAGTGCTTGGTGGTCGATCTGCTTTGTGTGAGCTAGGCTGGCAGGGGCGCTGCGGAATTGAAGAAAGCACGAGATCCAAGGCTTCAATCTTAGGGCGAGATCCAAGAGAAAAGGCCATGTTGATTGACTATAGCTCGTGGCATCGTTACACTCCGGCTGCTGGAGGACGCGCATGGCGTCCCTGCAGACCAGCAGGTGATAGTGCCGTCCGGCCGGGTTGAGTGTCGAACCACCGAACCACTGGTTAGACTTTGGCATTTCCGCCAGGGACAGCGCATGGCATGGCATGTTTCTGCGGGGATCGTAAGTCGCAAGGGGAGCAAAGGTATGCCGGGCAGCAGCTGAAGGATGAGTACAAAGCCTTGGGCGACTACAATATCCAGGTCCACGGTGTCGGGTTGGGTGCAGCAACCAGTGACGAGTTTTGGCCTTTCAGAAGTCTGATGTGTAGGTTTTCTACGTATTCGTACACGGTTTGGTCTTTAAACACTCCTTAAAAAATTATGTATCTATAGCGGGGCTACTATTTTCCATGTTTTCTCCATTGTCGCCAACATTCGCAATTACGAAGATGAATGCCCTACCTTCGCAAGAATGCCGCTAACAGCTAGCTAACTTGCCAGCGGGTAGGCAAGAGGACTTGACTAAGAGGTGCATGAACTGCGAGGGTGCAAATCTCTCAACATGGCTGGACCTGGGCAGTCAAGCCTGCAAAGGCAAACATGCCTTCGTAAGCAAAACAACCCATATGGGTGTCCGCGCATGTGTACCTCTGCGTGCGCACGTGTGTGTGTGTGTGTGCGTGCGTGCGCGTGCGTGTGTAAACATATATATATATATATACATATACATGTATCGATGCGCGTGCATACTTCAGGCAAAGAAGCAATATCCTATGTGTGAATACATACATATACATATATATATATACACATAATTATACATATATATATATATGCATACCTACATACATAACATAACATATCAGAACATAATGCAGCACAACACAACACACCATACACATACACACATACACACGTACGTACATACATACATACATACATACATACATACATACATACTGTCTGTCATACTGTCGGACTGTCATACACATTTATACCCACAGCACAAGCAAATAAATAACTCAATGAATCAATAAAGACAGCAAAATCAATCGATAAATGACTCAATCCATGAATGAATCCGTAAACAAACCAATGAATAACATATATATATATACGCACACGATTGGCATATACTGCTGTAAGACATTGTGCCCTCCTGTAACTGTATGAGCTGGGGCCAGGGCAACATCTTCTGCGTTGTGCGGAATCGAAAGCAGGGCCCGACCTTCACCGTCACGGTGGCCCTGCTGCATGTGGCGTGAGAAGATAGGAGCAATCCACAGCATCGGAAGCTGTACTAGGCCTAGGCTTTGTTTGGTGCCTCGATGCCTCCCTGAACATCCCGGCAGCAAAAGACGGCTGCCCAGGTCAAGGTCCTGAGTGGTCAGAGCTTTGATTTGTCCGTTGCTGCGACGGACACGATTCAAGAGGCCTGCGGTGAGGGCTGATGTAAGGTGGTCAGGCCCGCGAACGTTTCCCCCTTGTGATCTAACCGTACAGTATCAACAAACCCATTTCTTGAAAGTCGTCGAAAACGGATTCGGGTGTAGTCCTAGCAGCTGGCTTTGAAACGAGGGTCTCAGTAGGGCTGCGCGCGTCCGTAATCCTGCACGGTGCCCGTATCCCCAAACCATCAGGCAACGGGTCACGCTCCAGAAACGAACGAGCCGAAACTGTAACTACATCCAGGTGAAGGCCCAGATCGAGAAGTCGGTCACCATTCCGGTAGAGGCTTGGACTGGAGCTTTGCAGCTTTAGTGCAGACGTCTCGGTGAAAGTTACTGCTGGCCTGCAACAGAAACGAACATGGTGGTGTCTGGTGCTGCTGTTTGTGGCGGTGATGATGATGATGATGACGATAGGACGATGAAGATCGCAGTGATGCTGACGGCATCATGACTGTATGTCAAGTGCTAAGCTTTGGAAGAACGTGGCCCCTGTTCCGGTTCCTTGCTAAACCGTTCATCCCAATGTGGAGACCAGTTATGAAGCCTTTCTAGAACCGAAAGCAGGTAGTGCACGGGACGGTATCCCTTCAGGCTCAATGGCTCAATGTCGATGCTTTTGGGCTTCACGGGTGAAGATCTAAGAATCTAGCAATCTAAGGGGACTTGTTGGGTTTGGGGGTTTGGTGTAGGTGGACCCAGCCCAGGAAAAGCAGCGGCTGGTTTTTGAAGGCAAGCTGCTTTGTGCCTCTTGGCATGCAGGTCGGCAAGCTACTGGATGTATGCTTGTGTAAACTTGTTCTGAGTCGCGAACGACAGAACTCTTGGACTTCAGCTTTGTTAATTCAAGAGCTGCCATAAGACGACTGGCTTCGTCGATTCGAAGCTCGGTGTGATCCAAACAAGCTCTCACCAAAGGCTACAGCCGGGCCCTAGCTACACTGATGCCAGCGAGGTTCGTGGACTGAGCTCTTCTTGTTTGGCAGGAGCTGAAAACAAATGTCGCACAAAGCTCCTCCTCTCTCACACGCGACATCCCTTCAATGAAATCCACAGGTGGAGGTTTGCAAAAAAGCGTAACGGGCAGGAGGGCTTGGAACGCCCCACCCCGAACCGCGAAGCAAGGACACAGCGACGGTCTCGGAGAGCCGCATCGAAGACGGGCGCTGCAGCTGCAGCGATGAGAGTCTACTTGTAGGGATTTGTGATGCTGACTTAAAAGATGCTATTTTGAATTCAGCGTTCAGTCCAAAAAACTCGGAAGGCCGTGGCTGTCCAAGTTCGCTTCGGTTTCAACATTTTGACAAGTACAAAGGGCGAAGCTGGGGCTCAGTGCAGGGCATCACACGGCTCGGCTAATGACTCTGCTGTCACTGCAGCTGCTACTGCTGTGCGTTGTTCTTTGTTTGGTTCAGCTGCCTTGCCTGTCGGTTGGAGTTCCAGTATGTGCGTGCCTGTACAAGCCTCGGTGTGGGTCAGGAATACACTCCACCTCGTGGTGCGCCTCACAGTGCAGGGGGAGGCAGGCTCCACCATGGAGTCTCAGGGCACAGTTTGCGCTCTCCGCGGCACCTGCGATAGCCCCGGTGCGTGCGGCCTCCTGAACCTCGGGAACACGTCTCCGGGCCGCATCGACGAAATGTCTGTTTGGTGTTTCAGGATTCAGTTACCGTGTGGCTGCATGCCTGGTTGTCACGAAGATCTGCTTGGGCATTGCCAGCAGCATTGCTGTTCTGACTTGCATGGCTTTGCCGCTGAGTAGCACCCTAGTTCTCTAGCAAAGACTGATGTACCATGGATCTCGAGGCTAACACGAGCATTTGGGAGCTTAGAGTGGGAATGCTGTTGTTGGTGATTCGCGCGGCTGCGGGGCTCAAGGGATTCCGGTTTTCAAGCTGGGCCGGGGTTCGGGTCAGGTCTGGATATGTCTGGATGAGTTTAGCTTCGAGTTCCCACAGCCTGGCCAGCCCCGTCAGTTTGGTTCCGACATTAGATCATTAGGTTCGAAACTTGAGTGTTGGGTGGCCTCGTCATGGGCTGGAGCCTCCGCCTGGAGGTGCTACTTGAACTCCACCTTGCAAGCCCTGTCCAACACCGTGGCGCTGCGCCGGTATTACGAGGCAGGCCACTACAAGGCGGACATCAGCTGCACGCCTGACAGCATGGGAGGCCCGCATCTCGACAGCTTCCGTGAGAGTTTAGGATGTAGGTCCAAAGTCTGATCTGATTGGCGCCTTTCCGGTCTTGGTTTGACGGTGCTGAGACCGGGGCTCCTTGGGTTTTGCTTCGCTCGCCGAACTCCAAACCCGAAATCAAGCCCCGGGTCGAAAGCAACTCGTCCACCCTCGCCGGGGCCCTCCAGAACGCCAGTGATGCTGTTATAAGTTATAAGAAGAACATGATACGCAGCCAGGTATGTGTACTTAAATACATACATTTCGGCACGCACACACACACACATGTTACAAATGTGTACTGACTTTGGATTTGTTAAGTTCCCCTAGTGTCGAATACAGAATGTAGAACCTCAGCACGAAAGGGGCTGTTCATATGAAGGCCTAGTGTATGTATGCATATGTTAGTCACATGTGTGTGCATGTGTGAATGTCTATGTCGAGTTCCTAGTCCATTCACCCTACGGCAACAGTTTCGACTCAGTTGCCATGAGGCCACTCACTGTCACAGATCCTCAATGCCAAGCCCGAGCATAATGGCAATCCCCACAACAAGAGCACAGACGGGTAGACTCTTCAACAATATCAGATATTTGGAGCCGTTACAGATGCGAAAAATCAGAAACTTCTTGGGCTCTGTACCCGGAAGGACGTCTAGCAGATGGATTCGCAAATCTGCTCCGCTCCATTTGGGGCAACGAGTTTCGGATCGTGAAGCCGCATGAGGCCTGGGTTTGGAAAATGGGTTGGCCTGACGTCAGGCCAAGTGACGGAGCTTAGGGTTCGGCTTCCCGCACGGGTTAAAGATGCTCTGGGCTCTGCCCTTTGAGGCTTGATGAGCGTTGGGGTTTGGAGTTGTGCAAAGTGGATGTTTGTAGCATGCATGTAGCTGAAACTCACGAGGGCGCACAGACTTGAAGCAGAAATCCAAGGTTCGCAGCTTGATCTCGGAGAAATGGAGCCAATTCGCTGGCTGCAGGCAGCATGATGCTCAGGAGCTCTTGATGTTTCTCCTCGACGGTCTACACGAAGATGTGACCCTTGGCTGGTGGTATATCTTGAGGTACAATTCGGCAAGATTGCCCGCTATTTCCCATCCAGTCATGAGAGGTGCTGGCACAAGCGTCCGCCAAGACACTTCGTGATCCTGAAGAACGCCTGCCAGAAAAAGCGAATAGCCTGTCCTTGTTCAATGAGTGCATCACGACGTCCGCACGGCTCAAAAACCTTAAAGACGCCAAGACCTCGACACTGTTGCTAGTGACATGTACATGTATAACTCTAATATACTTTCACTCGTATGTATGGGTTTGCATGTTTGTTTGTATATATATATATATGGATGGATGGATGGATAGGTCATTGGAGTATGATCCATCCCAGGAAGCGCAGCCCGTCGCCCTGCCCGCGCGGCTCGGAGTCTGCCTCCTCCCAGTGCGACGCATCCGACTCTCAGGCCGGGGTCTGACATTAAGGCTGACGGGGGTTCCTTTAAGTTCCTTTTTGAAGTCCTTTGAGGGTTCTATACAAGCTCATGAAGATAAAGGTCCTTGAGGGGGAAGCGTAGGTTTTGAGTTGGAAGCTTCGGGTTTTCGATGGGATATGGATTTATAATAATTCAGAGCTGTAGGGTACTGCAGGGTTTAGAGGGTATCCTTCGGGTAAGGCTGGTTGTGGCACCTGGAAGTGAAGTCCAAAGTGAGCCTTCCATTTGTATTACGTCGCAGTTTCACGCTTATCTAATGTGGGGTCACATCGAGCAGTCTATCTAGGACTCTGGGGGGCCTAGTGTGGGAACTATAGATCCCAATTCCTGAACCCGGAAATCCGTCGACTCGATGTCTGTTCGATGACAGGATGCAGGCAACTGCCAGACAGACTCGAAGATCAAGGACATTTTTCACTTCCAGGTTCAACCCGTCGTTGATGTGGTTGTGTTTTGCTTTGGATAAGGGTCCCATTTGACATGTTTCTGTTTTGACTATATGCGGTTACATTAGCAGGGACCAGCCGGGACTCTGGTCTGGAACGCCAACCGATTAACGGATCACGGGTGGAAGTGGAAGTGGCTCAGCACCGCCGCACCTGAAACCGTTCAGGCGCAACATCACTTGAAGCCTGGCCACTCGGGCGTTCAAGCATAATAACCGGCAACCTGTGCGTATTACACCATCACATGCGCATTTCGCTCCGTCTTCCTGTCCGCCAAGGGGGTGTTAGGGAGCTTCGGCGGCTTCGGAATGTTTAGGGCTTGTCGAGCGAAAGGTCGCTGCATGGTCTTGGATTGCCCCGGTCAGGATTTTAGGTTTCTTTGAGCCGGGGCATTGTGAGACGGAGAAACGCCGTCCGATGGCAAGATAACGCTAAACCGAACTCCAACACGAAATTTACAATCAGCACGAGCACACGCTGCAACAGTTGCAGCAACACAACCCAACATGGCCCGTGCGTTAGGGATCTTTGGAGCTTTCCAGGCACCAGGCATCGGTATGATCCAAGGAAATGAGGCTGGCATTAGGGATGGAATGTAGCGGAATACAGCATCCGGGCATGGTGGCAGGTGCGCTCCACCACCACTTTCTGCGATGTGGGAATGCGCTCTGAGAAGTTTGAGCCCATGGTTTACCTCACATTGCCCATCCCTGGGCCGGTCGCTGGTCGTTGATTGGAGGGGAGCACTAGCAATCAGAATCCGTTAGAATCATGGCTCCTTCAGGCACCGAAGGGATTGGTACTTCGTGCTCCGGAGGATCGGGCTTGCTACCTCAGGCTTGGAATCGCGGGGAAGGATGTTGCGGCCTCAGGGCTCAAGACGATCATGCTGCACGGGGGCATGGAATAATGAAAAGACCTACGGAGGTTGCTGACGCAGTGAGCATCTCTTACACCCGCCACAAAACCCAACTGCCTTCCCTGACTCTTTGAAAAATCGCGGGGTGCACTGGGTCTAGGCGGACTGAGCTGAGGGATACTGGTAGTGGATCAGGTCAAGCCTGCCCGGCTTTGCAATTGGGGCTGGCAACCCGTCAAGTCATGAACATCAGTGCGTTTGTTATATTATTCATGTATATGTCTGTACAAAGATAAATACACATACAGATACACATTCATTTATCATATACGGTATATGTGTTGCTCACGAACAGACAAACAAGCCAACGCACAAAAAAACAGCCATGCACACATACGTACGTACATACTTAAACAAACGCGTACACACGCACATTGCACACATAGGTGCGCAGGTACCTACGTAATTATGTGCATAAGTACATACATTCGAAAGCACACACAGGAACGCGAACAAACAACTTCACTTTATATATATATATATGTATATATATATAATATACGTACATATTACAGATCATATGTCTGTGTGTATGTACATGTATATATATGTACATGCATTTTATTTGTACTGTCGGTCGGCTGAGGAAGACACCGCCCTGGCCGAGCGATCGTTGGAAGACTGCCTGGACTCCTTCTCTAAGCAGGAGTCGAGTTGTGCAGCTCTAGGCCCTTTACGCTTTCCTGTCGGCGATCCGACGAGAGATTCGAACGCATAAGTAGGCTTACATTTAAGCTACGCCCACACACACGCACACCGCCGTATCAGCTCAGTCAGCTTGAGAGAGGAAGAGCTTTGCCAAGATAACTGGGTTTGGTGCGATCAGACGCAGCAGCGCGAACGGTCCCTGAAGAAGATTGAGCTTTGGACCGCGCCGGAGTGCTTGAAACTCGGAGGCAGTTTGTGAGGAAAAGGAGAGCAATGCGCACACAATGTTTCGGATACCCTGGGATTTGTAAGGCGGGAATACTTCCAAACGAGGATGAAAGGTTGTAGGCGGTGGCTTAGCACTCAACATGTCCAAGACAAATGAGGGAGAGTGATGATGTGAGATAAGCACGAACTCACAGTATGGACGATACCAAGGTGCTGGTTCTGCCGCTCCTGATGTTGGAGATCGCCATGGTGATGACGACGACGACGATGATGATGATGATGACGATGGCGACATTGACGGTGACAGGGTACACGAAATTGATTCGCGACGATCTTGGTCCTTACGACGATGTTGAACAGGTGACGGTGAATTCTGAAGCAAGAACTGGACAAGGCGGAACAAACCACTTTCCGACTGGCATGCACTCCCAATCACTCTCGTAAAACCCTTCGCCAGCATATTCGATCAGTTTTGCACATTGGCAGCCCGCTCTTAAGGATCATCCACTTGAAGCGGTTCGTGGCCGACTCTTCCAGCATTGACAAGGCCAGGGCCCAGTGAGTTCTTTCGCATGGGGCACACGGGATCGTTCTTATTCCTGCATCCTCACTGCAGAAACTGGGTTCGGAACGCTTCGAGCATGTATGTCTGCCTGAACTGTCTCGCACTTGCATCCCAAGAGCTCAACCCAGACAGGGGCATTGCAGTCAACTACGGCACTATACGTACATTTTCGTTCATCCAAGTTTATGTTTTTCAGCCTCCCACCGGCAGGATGGAAGCTTTGTTCGCTTCCCGTTCGAGCTGGACCTTTCGCGATGGCTCGCGGGACCTCCAACCGAAGGACCTGACACGACCCGGCAGATCCAGCATGATCCAGCTTTTTGTTGCGGTGCATCCATGTCTGACTGATGCGGTTTACTTCCTCATGTCCCATACGGAATTCTCACGATGTGCGCATGGCTGCAGCCGTAAAGCATGAAGAAATCATTAAGCCTCATGCGAAGTCTGCACTGTCCAGGGGCTTTGCTGATTGCGAGAACTTGCCAGGAGAACAATACAAACTCTATGCCGTCGTGAACCACTCTGGGAGCCTCTCCTACGGCCACTACACTGCCTACTGCAAAGTGGGCGAGGGTTCTGACAAGAAGTGGTATTTCTTCAATGATGCAGCTTGCCTGAAGCTGGGGCACCGGGACTGCCTGCAAAGCTGATTGCGACCACCTTTTCCGGCCATCGATCTCGACAGACCTCAGAAATATCTTGAGTCGTGCTCATAACAGTATCTTGCAAGGAATTCCAAGATTGTCAGGTGGCTTTCCATCCTCGCACGGCGCGGTAGTGTCAATTGCAGCCTGCTGATGTAATCCCACCTTCGCCGACTGAGGCTCGTGTGACACAGGCCAGTGAGTCTGACGTAGTGTCACCAGAGGCATATCTCCTCTTTTATGAACGCTTCTAATCCAGGCGTTCGAGAATTTCTACGATTCTAGGATGTAGGGTCCGGACTTGACGAAGGTAGTGGCGAAAGTACGAAGTTTGTGGTTGTACCTGCAAGGGTGTAAGTGAGGTGCTCGGTTCCGATCAGTTCCAGCTTCGCACTCTAGTGACTCCAGTAGGTGGCTGCAGTCTACAATTCATGCACGAAGCGATAATCCTACTGCAATTAGGCAACGGCCGAAGCAGCAGCAGAATCGCTGGTTCGTAGCGCTAGTAGCAAGACTTCCGTAACATGGAGCAGCCGTAGTGTTCTTGCTGAATGAGTGGCCAGCTGTAGCATTGGGTTCTGAAGCGTCGAGCACCGGAACAGTGCATAAGACCGAGGCTAGGTTCAAAAACACAGTATTCCTGCAGCTCAGCCTTACCATTCGCAAGCCCGAGCGGGTCTTCCAGCACAGACGCAAGCAGTCGCAGTGCTCGTCTCACCCTCCATGGTCGCAGGCAGGCTCCTCTGTTAGTACAGGGTCTGAATAAGTTTGAACAGTAACCCATGATCGTCCCATGTATGTATGTATGTATATATATATATAATTATAATTAGTTATAAATCACGAAAGCTCGCGTAGCAGAGCTTGAGTTTAGTCTTGCTTTTAGCAGGGAGGCAGTCCAGGGCCAGAAACCAGCGTATTATTGATAGTATCAATTTAGGGGGGGGAGGGGGAGGAGGGGGGCTAAATTGAACGGTTCATACGAGAGCCTGTGTTTTGCCAGGGGGGGGCATGCGAGTCTCTGGTTTCCTGAGGGGGGGGGGGCTAAATTGATATATCAGTACTTGTTTGCGGTGTGGCACTTGTGTACTGTCATGCAACATGTTGCATTGATTTTGCCTGCGTGTGTTTGTCGTTTCGCATCCTCGCAAAAAGCCAAGAACCCACTTATACTGGAATTGCGAAATTTGCATGCAGCTGAAAGTTCTCAC